TATATATATACATATAGTTTCACCAGCCTTACTGTGATGTCAGGTATGCTTTAAATCCAACTGACTGCTATAAGTTACAGCATCTTGCACATAATTTTAGTTTTAAGTGTGAATGCATACCTTTACGTTCACTAGGCATTTTATGTATAAGTTATAGTTTTTTTGGCGCAGTGACTTTATTGTCTTGAGATTGTAGAGAGTGATTATAGGATTCACTTGTTTTCACTGCTGCTGACACATTATATTGAAAGGAAACACCAAAAGCGCGGATTTTACACATAATTGCAATACCTTTGCGTTACTATTGCCCTGCTAAAGCAAGCAAAAGCTGATTGTGTGATGGGTATGGCTTGGACAATTCAGACAGCTGCGGATTACTTATATACTGTGCATTATAAATTACATAGGTAAGCATAAGATGGTTATTGGGGGTAGCTTGAAAAATTAATCTGCCATGTTTACCATAATGCTATAAAGGGCAGAAATTCGTTATTTCTCAAAATACTGTACCTGTGGCATTGGGTCTCCCTCTGAACACATCATCATATGCTTTCCATTGTTGTGTGACTTGATATGCATGAATAAAAACCACAAGCACAACCACAAGGCAAACTAATGGCACAAGTGCTGCAGTAAAAAGAGCTGCATAGATATTTGGAATGAAACACCTGGAAAATATATAATGTAAATACAAGTTATTGCTTACATGTCCATAAGAAATTCTTTTTCATAATAAAACAAATGGTGTTGGGCATCCCTAGTTTTGGCAACCATGTAGACCTACAGTATACGAAGGCATAAGGAAAGATATTTGGCCTGCCTTTCACATTCTCACTTAATTCTAAAGAAGTTTAGCTTTGTATAACTTTAATAAACATTCATAATTGCTATCACACCAATTGTTCACACACTTTTGCTATTAAAAGTTACCTTTCTAATGATCTACAGCTAGCCATGATTTTCTATGACTGCCAGAAGGTTACATTTCTCTATTTTGCAACCATGGCTAGCTTGTAAATCAGATGTTTAGAGAATTCTCATCCTCCTAAAATTATAACTGGCTCATTGCCTCTTTCAGAAATATGTACAGAGCATAAGGAATTACAAGCAACCTGTGGCCATCATGGCATACCCTTAGTTTTGCTACAATGGCGACTTCATTCTTGGTGAGACAAAGGTAAAGTGTGCTGCAAGTCTGAAGGGACTTACAGAATATCATAGATATTTCTTAATACAAGGGCACTGATTTTAATATTATAGTAAAGGCAGACACTTTGTACCTAGCAATCATATTGACAGATACCTTGTATTTAGTACTCATTTGCAAAGACTACAGCAAGCATGCTGGTGTGGCTTGTACCTGTATTTGCAAAACCAGAAGCAGGTACTTTTGACTAAATGATTTTAATTTATTTATTTATTTTTGTTCAATAAGAGTACTCTTGCACTTTATTACAAGTAAATACTGTATTGGCATTCAACAGATTCTACATTATACTGTATGTTTGCCAATGTCTGAATTGAAAGGGATTAACCTCAGAAAAATTATAAACATATGACATAGACATATAGGAACTGTTTTATTTCCTGAAAGATTTGTAATTTTGTGCACCCATACATACAGTGTGATGCAGATACCCTACCATACAGCACAGCCACAGACTTGACTATCATTGCAGCAGCAGCACAGTTGGGTCAAGTATAACCCCAACCTAATGACCGGACAATGAAGATGCTTCAGCATCCTGATGCTCCTCCTGTCAATATGTTCAGTCAGCACACCTGCACTGTAGCAAAGTCTCATCAGCAACTAGTGCTACCTCTGTCTCGCCATGTATAAAGCCTCCTGTAATGGTGATCACATGAGGCTGGTATCAAGGTAAATTTAGTACCTCAAAATCTGTTATGTTATGCCCTTGGGGTATATCACCGCCAGATGTTTCCTCTCTAGTGCACAGGTCTGTCACCATGCTACATAGAAACATAGTAGAGTTGCGGCAGAAGAAGACTGAGTGGTACATCAAGTTTTTGGTTTCTTTTTACTTTTTTGTCACTTTAGATTTATGTTTGTCCCAAGCATGATTACATTTACTTACTGTTGCCTGACTCATCGCTTCTGTTGCAAGTCTGTTCCAAGCATGAACTCCTCTTTCAGTAAAAAAATACTTTCTAAGGCTAGTTTTGAACTTTCATCCTGCTAGTTTGAGGTCATGTCCCCACGTTCTCGATTTTAGCTTCATATTGAAAATACTGCCCACCTGAACCTTATTTTACAGGGCTTATTCACTAAGCTGCCAGAGGCAGCCGAGTGAATAACCAAGCCGTAGTGAAGTGAGCCGAACAACGTTCAGCTATTCACTACGGCTCAGTACGGCTGATTGCCGTACATCGGCTGCCTTCAGTCAACCGAACATGCAGAGCCGAAGTGCAGAAGGACTTCGACTTAGCCGATCCAACATCTGGATCGGCTGAGCCGAAGCTCCGGCAGCTCACTCACTGCCGTTCGCCCCTATTCTCATAGGGGCCAAACGGCGGTGAGTGAATAGCCGAATGTCGCCGAGGAGAATAGGAAATCAATGAAAAAAGTTGAAAAAATGTTTAATAAATGTAAAATCTATTTTTTTTAAAATATATTTTTTAAAAAAGTAACAAAATAAAAAACTATTGGGCCGAGCTAGCAGTGACAGCCAGCTCCGCCCAACTGTTTCCTATTGGCCGGCACATGCTAGAGTCTTCTAGCAGGTCCCGACCCATGAATAACAACTGGGCGGAGCCGGCTGTGACATCACGGCCGGCTCTGCTCAGTTGTCATTGTTTAATGAGAGTTCAGCATCCCCAGATCATTTGTAGACGCTGATCTGTCATTACAACTGGGCGGAGCGAGCCGCGAGATCACAGCTGGCTCCGACCAGCTGTCATTTCCTAGGTGTTCGGCCTGCCTTAGGGTGGCCGTCCGCCCCACTTCGGCTGCCACTGTGGCTCAGTTGAGCTGAAGAATATGCCCTCGGCTCAGCCACTTTGCCGAGGAGATCCTCTCCTGATCAGACCGTGTGAAAGGGACCTTAAAGGAGAACTATGGGGTTAGGGCTTTTCCCCATAGTTCTCCTTAGGGTAACGGGAGGACACAAACTAGCGTCACCCTAAGCTCAGTATACTCAGCTCGCGGAAAACTGAGACGCCGCAGCTGAAGCGGATCCCGATAATTATGTCTGGATCCGCCCAGCTTCGTGAGTGACAGCTGGCTCTGCCTATCTAGAGGCAGAGCCAGCTGTACCCCTCCTCCCCCGTCCGTTCTGCCAGTCAGCGCTGGAGGATCGGAGCGGGGAGGGGGGAATGCAAGCACCGTTCGTTTGAATATTTTCAACCAGCTTCTATGATCAGCAGATCGAGGGATGCCAGCTGGAAGGATGCCAATAACAGCACCCACTGTGTGAATTTTGCCTGGTTCCTGAAGAACTTAAAGTATAATTAAAGCCTCCGTTTTTTTGCATATATCTACTGCTAGCAAGCAGTAGATACAGTATATGCAAAAAGTTTTTTTTTTAAACGCTTTAAAAAGGGTTAATACTAACCTGTGTCTTCCCTGCGCGCTCCCGTCCGAAAATCTAAAAAATCTCGGGCGGCCGCAAAGCATCTGCAGTTCGGATTTTCGGCCGGGAGACAAGGAGAGACACAAGTTAAGTATATGGACGGCCTGCACACGCATGCAGACACCGTGGGACAGGAAGTGCCAGCAAGGACAGAGGAGTCAGCGCTGGATTGGAGACCCGCAGCAGCGCTGGAGAGAATGCTGAAAACAACAGGAAAGAAGAAGAAGATCGGATTAAGAGACATCATTTAAGGTAAGTGCTGACATTAGCATTGGGGGGAGGGGAAAAAAAGTATCCTTTAATGTCACTTTGAGAGAAACTCCTTTTTAAAGCCCCCAACATATTTCTGCCCCTGCTTGTAAGCACAGATTGAGAATTCAATTGTGTTGAAGTCACTCATAATTAAAACTTTGATCTTCGCTGTCATTTGAGTGATCAGCCAAACAAGGTGCTTTGTCAAACAAGTATTAAAGCCATAGAAAAGTCAAACAAGGGCAGACTAAGCATTTTCCCTACAACAAGCAGATATGTGGAGGAACTGAACTGAAGTAAAACATGTTTATATTGACAAATGGGTAATCTAAACAGGCCGCGATCTACCAGAATCATCGAGAGAAATAAGCCAATGGGAGATTCAAGCAACTTTGGCGAATTCCGGGCATATAAACACAATCCTGATACTTTCTCAATAATGTTTGTAGAACAAAATCAAACATTTATACCAATAAATAGTCAAAACAAACACTCAATATTCAACTGAACTTTTAAATAAATGAGAAACATGCTTCACAGAAATTCGGACTGTCAGTGGAAACAAGCATTGCTTCATATTCCCACTAACTCCCCATCTGCATCTCCTCATTTCCCCATCCCTGTATTATTATTTTTCTGCCTATTATGAATTTTCTGAGCAGGTAAATGATGTCTTATTAATGGCATGTATAAGCACAGCTTTGTTTTGGCTCGACACGTTTGATTGCTTTACTAACTGGCAATAACAGATCTTTTTAGTTTTTTTTTTTTATTCTCTTATATGAGGGTCATCCAAAGTTCTCACTAGCTTATATATAACATTTAAACTACTGACAGATGTACATGAAGCACAATGGAAAAATAGGAAGTGAACACTTACAACTGAATGATCCGTTTGGATGGGATATACTTTTCCCTTGACCTTCCACAAGACCATCTGCCTGAGATCCCACATTTTGCTCTTCTATTGAATCACAGGTCATTAAAACTAATCTACAGTCACGCCATTAAATTTATATTTCTGATGCCCAATTATGTTGTGAAATATATTTATTAACCCTGCCATTTAATATTTGAAATCACACACAATTTCCACTATTTACAACCCATGTAGAGCAGCTGTACTGTGGCCCCTATGTGCAGAAGCCCATCTGAGTTAGACACTAATAACATTTACTAGGAAGGAGAATGGGGTTCACCACCACTATGGGCTTATGGTGAATCCTGTGGGTTAGAAATTCACGGTCCCTGTGAAATGTTGGTGCATATTCATATTGGAGATTTTTTTTTTTAAACCACAATGCACTGCATGGTCTTTAAACTGTGGCCAGTATACTTAGAAGGCAAATGAGGAGATTTTGGTCAAGCTAGCCCCCTCAATATAAAAGGAGGCACTTGTACCCAGCCCTATGTTTACTTCATGCCTTCCCCCCAAACACTAATGGCGTATTAAACACTCCAACACGATGGGAACACTTATGCCTGCTGACTGCCAAGAAGACGATTCTGAGTAACTGGATATTACCTGATACCCCCACGATCATTTCCTTCCGGACTTTATTACTCCGAATAATGTGGTTAGATAAACTAGATACCAGATTTAACCAGGCCTGTACCCAGAAATTCTTCAACACTTGGAAATCTTTCATTATAGCTGAATTGTCACCTGCCCAATTGATCGACCAGATGTCCATATTCCATCTGTCCAAATGGTATCTTGAAGCCAAACTGACTAACTCTTTGGGGGGGCCTAGATGTCCTTTGACCCACTCACCATACTCCCCATTCATCCAAATATTCATCATCACCATAACAGCTACCCATTT